TTTATTTCCACTCTAATCTTTATTATTTCCTTCCTTTTAACTTTGAGCTTTGTTCTTTTTCTAGTTCCTTTAGATGTTAGTAGTTTGAGATTTTTGTGGTCTTTTGACATAGGCCTGTGGCGCTGTAAACTTCCCTCTTAAAACTGCTTTTGCTGCATCCCAAAGATTGTGGACTATTGTGTTTCCATTTTCATTTACCTCCATGTATTTTTTTTTTTTAATTTCCTTCATCGACCCATTGCTTGTTTAAGAGCATGTTGGTTAGCCTCCATCTGTTTGTTTTTTCCAGTATTTTCCTTGTAATTGATTTCCAGTTTCACACTGTTGTGGTCAGGAAAGATGCATGATAGGATTTCAGTCTTCTTAAATTTATTACGATTTGTTTTGCAGCCTAACATTTATCTATCCTGGACAGTGTTCCATGTGCACTTGAAAAGAATGTGTGTTTTGAGATGAAATGTTCTGCATGTATCTATTCAATTTCTTTATATATTTAGGTGCTCCCATATTGGGTGCTTAAACATTCAAAACTGTTATATCTTATTCTTGGATTGATCCTGTTATCATTATGTAAGGCCCTTCTTTGTCTCTTGCTACACTCTTTGTTTATAGTCTATTTTTTGTCTGATAAAAGTATTCCTACCCTAGTTGCTTTTCTTTTGTTTGCTTCCATTTGCATGGAGTATCTTTTTCCATCCCTTCACTTTCTTTGTATATCTTTAGGTCTAATGTGAGTCTCTTGTTGGCAGCATAATCCATTCTGTCCCCTTCTTTTGATTAGAGCATTAATCCATTTACATTTAAAGTCATTATTGATAGGTATATACTTATGGCCATTTTGTTACTCGTTTTCTGGTTCTTTTTGTGGTTCTCTTTTCCTTTCTTCTCTTGCTCTCTTATAGTTTGAGGGCTTTAGTGTTATGCTTGCATTCCTTTCTCTTTATTATTTTTTGTATCTATTATAGGTTTGTGATTTGTGGTTACCATGGAATTCATACATAACACTGTATGTATATAGCATTCTATATTAAGCTAATGGTCACTTAAGTTTGGACACATTTTTAAAGCACTAAATGTTTACTCCCCCTCCATAATGTCCTATTTTACTTCTTTTTGTGTATTCCTTGACTGATTTTTGTAGATATAATCCTGTCAAAATTTTCTTCTATTTATGGCTGCCTCTTTCCACTTAACATTTCTTTTAAGGCTTGTTTAATAGTGATGGATTCCTTTTAACTTTTCTTTTTGACAAACTCTTTCTTTCTCCTTCAATTCTGAATGATAACCTTGCCCGGTAGAGTATTCTTTGTTGTAGGTTTTTTCGTTTAACCACTTGAATATATCATGCTCCTCCCTTTTGGCATGCAAAGTTTGTTGAGAAATCAGCTGCCTTATGGGGTTTCCCTTGTATGTGACAGTTTTATTTTCTCTTGTTTTAAAATTCTCCAGCTTTAATTTTGCGTCTTGGTGCAGCCTGCTTGGGCTCATCTTCTTAGGGGCTTTCTGGGCTTGCTGGACCCGGGTGTCTATGTCCTTCCTCAGATTAGGAAAAATCTTTCATTTGGGATATATTTCTCTCTTCATTTTGTCTAACTCTGGGTTTCTCTATATTAGGTAGGTCAGCTGTCTCTCCCGGTCCTTGTGAAAGTAGTGGCCTTGCGCGGAAGAGGTCCTGTGGTGCCCTACAGTGCAATCCCCCCAGTCACCAGAACCAGGTACTCCAAGAGCTTTCCCTCTGTGGGCTGCATGTGTCCTCTTGTTATGGCTGAGCTGTGACTGCCTCGGGCATGCTGGTGGGTGGGGCTGACCCTCAGCCCAGCTGGCTGCAGTAACCTGCTGTAGGTGCACTGGGCAGGGTTTGAGAGGTCAGCTGCAGCCACCAGGAGCCCACTGGTGGGTGGGGCTGACCCTCAGCCCAGCTGTCTGCCATTAGCCTGTACTACTGCTGCAGGCACACTGCCGGGTAAGGCTTGCTTCCTGTGCAGCCAGTTAAGAGGCCTGAATGCAGAAGTGCAGACATGCTGGTGTGGGGGGTGGTTTACACCCCTGCCCCTCAGGGCAGGAGTCACTTTGGAAGGACACCTTTCCCAGCCAGGGCTGTTTTTGGGTGTGGCAGGGCAGGAGCTACTTTGGAGGGGCACCTGGTGAGGCAAGTGGGTTGGATGGGGAATGTCAGGGAGGGGCATGCAGTGCTGGTAAGGTACATGGAGACTGTTTACTCGCTCCCCCAAGTGTCTAGCTATCGAGGCTGGGGAAGGGCAAGAAAAACAGTGCCTGCCAGCACTTTTGTTCCCAGAGAAACATGCAGATCCCTGCCCCTTTGGTACATGTCTTAAAATTAGTCAATAAATCCCCTTTCACGTATACCCTAGGCACTTTTCGAGCTGCTGCTTTGCTGTGTTCCTGGCGAGTTACTGAGCATGGGGTGGGGACTCAGTTTCCTATCATCCTCGGGTTCTCCTGGTGTTCAGCACTGCTGATTTTCAAAGCCAGATGTTATGGGGGCTTGTCTTCTCAGTCCAAGTCCCCAAGGCCAGGGGTGGGGTCTGATTCCCTTCTTCCTCCATGTTTGTGACGCCCCTCCCATTTGTGGTTAGTTGTGCTGGGAGTGGTCCCCAAGTGCTGACACGGCCTTTCCTCTACAACTAGCTTGGGAAGACACGCTTTGCCAGTCTTCCGGTCATTTTCAGAGTTAGTACAATACATGTAGCTGTTGCCTTGGTTTGGCTGTGGGACAAAATGAACTTAGGACCCTCCTACTCTATCTTCCCTTCTCCCTTTTTTTTAATTATTATTATTTTTAACAATTATGGTTGTTTTGCTGGGAAGTGGATCTCTGAAGCTCCTCTTCCAGAAATCACTGGAAGTCACTACCATTCCAGAAGTTCTCACCCACTTAATTCTTACGTCTTTTGATGTCATTTACATGCCAATTCTTCATTTAAAGCAGCCAAAATCAATTCATTCTTGAGAAACAAGGCCAATCTTGAGAGCTCTTTTATTCCCGTCACAAATTACAGAGTATTTTGAAACACTTGTGCATTTTAAGAGAGGTAGGAAAATAACTAAAGAAATCGCAACTCTAATTCTATTATTATTATTATTTTTTTTTACGTAGGCTCCATACCCAGCGTGGAGCCCAACATGGGGCCTGAACTCATGACCCCGAGATCAAAACCTAAGCTGAGATCAAGAGTTGGATGCTCAACTGACTGAGCCATACAGGTGCCCCTAATTCTGTATATAGCATAAATTTCAAGGTTACTCTGCTTGTTTAAAAAAAAAAACAAAAATATCAGAACTGAAACAACCACCAAAAGAACAAAAACAGCTTGTAATGTATTTAACCATAATTTTGTGACTAGCATTTTCAAGGGAAAAAAAAATTTTTTTTACTTAAAACTGGGAAAAAAAATCCTAATAGCAAAATAGTAATGGATTTTTTAAAAAGTACAAAATAGTAAAAGAATAAAAGTGAACTGTTCCCTTTCCCATCTGAGAAGCCACTGTTAATAGTGGTTTTAGACCTTTTTATATGCATATATTAAAAACACAGATATATATTTTTGGTGGTTGTTTTTTTTTGTTTTGTTTTTAATTGAAAAGATCATATACTGTTCTGAAACCTGCCCCTTTTCCACTTGATAAATGACATCCTTTTCAGCGATCCATATGCAAATGACTCAGGCCACATTTCATGATATGGATTTATCACAGCTCTCCTGTTAGGTATTTACGGACTTCGTTTCATTATCACAACAAATAATCATACAGTAAGCATCACTGTGCAGACAACTTTCCATACTCTACTTCTATAGAACAGAGTTGTCTTACTCTGAGTTAAAGGGTATCCACATATTAAATATGGATAAAATAGGCCACATTCTTCTCTAGAACTGTATCATTTTCACTTCTAACAGTGTATCAGAGTGTTCTTTTCCTCCATATCCTCAAAAAGATTGGATGTAATAAAGTCTTCTGCCATCCTGATGTAACTAAGTTTGTACTTTCCCTTTTTAACAAAAGAAACGGATGGATATTTTACTAAATAATGAGATTGAGCATTTTTTCATGTTTGTGTTATGAACTGAATCATGTTCCCCCCAAATTAGTATGTTGAATCTCTAACCCCCTATGTGACTACGTTTGAAGATAGGGTCTTTAAAGAGGTAACTAACATTAAATGAGGTCATAAGGGTGGGGCCTTAGTCCAATATAACTTGTGTCCTTATCAGAAAAGGACACCAGAGAGATGCAGGTGTACACAGAGCAAAGGCCATCTGCAAGCCAAGGAGAGAGGCCATGGGGGCCGGACCTGTTGACATCCTGATCTTTGACTTCCCGTCTCTAGACTGTGAGAAAACAAATTTCTGTTGTTTAAGCCACCCAGTCTGTGGTATTCTGTTATGGTAGCCCTAGCAAACTAATATGTCATGTAATGTTTCTTCCATGAGCTGCCTATTGATATCATATGCTCACATATCTACTGGGTGGTACTGTCTTATTGACTCAAAGGACTTTGGCATACTGGATGATACCTCTTTAAATGCCCTGTAAAAACATGTTCTAAATATAAGACTGAAAATGAAGCTAGAATCTTTGAGATTAGTATCCATATAATTGAAATTATGACCCTATACCAACAACACATCCAAATTACTCTGCCAGTATATAGAATTTACTTTCCCAATACCTAACCAAAATTGGCACTTGACAGAAAAGTCACAAAATACTCTTCAACTCCCTGAGACAGTCAAATGGGTCAGTACAAGAGCAAATCAATTTGATCTAAAATGGAAAGACTCTTGAAGAGATACTAAAAATGCACGAAAAATCTTAAAGCAGAATAGTTTCTCTCACTTCCTTATTTTTTACCCCAGTAGTCTATAGTACTCTACTGTATGGACTGTACCACAATTTGTTTATTCATTCACCTGTGAAAAGATATATGGGTTGTTTCCAGTTTGAGTCTTTTATGTCTTTAATTCTGTTTTACTTACTAAAATTCCTCCATGAGACATACAAAGGTTCTCCTGGTTCCTGATGAAGGTTGATATTATCCCATAATAGCTGAATATACACAAGTTTGCTATCCTGGGACAGAGATGATAGGGGAAGCTAAAAGAGATCAACAGACAGTATTAGCACCCTACGCATAACAGTAATCACCAGTGGATCTAGAAAGTTTGATTATATAAAACAAATGAGTTCTTTCAAAACTCTGGACCTAAAATGCTAAGCAAAAATTTTAATTTTTATTTGTATCTGATGATAAATATTCCTGTTTTCTGAAGTGCAAGTTTCTCATTCCTACTTCCACAGCCTGGAAAGACAACTTGGTACTGGTACAGTGGCCACATGAAAGATTAGTCAGTCACTTTTACAACAAATTTCAAGGTAAGAGAAAGTACAATAGTTTCTGCTATGTTGTGCAGACTGTTACTTAAAATAAATGAGACTGTAATACTTTAAGCAAAGACTGTGTTGTGCCCCTGGTGAATGTTGGGGTGTCTCCCAGTAATCAGTATCATAAAATGAAGGAACTCTAGGAAGCTCAGTGTCTCCCACGCAATCAGGCGCCCCAGCATGAGGACAGCAGGGGCTATAAAGTCAGACAGGCGGACTGTGGTCTTGGCTCCCCATCACACAGTAGGTATGTGACCTTGCGGAAATTACTTCTCTAACTTTTAATTATATCATCTGAAAAATCTGGGTAAGAGGAGGCCTTTAAAATAAAGTTGTTTTGAGAATTTCAGCTGGAGATTTGATAGTTCAGAATAAAAACTACCTTTTCTAGCCACCCTCACAACTAGATAGAACCATGTAACTGAATTCGGGCCAAACAAATACGCAGATAAATGTTACGTGCAACTCTAGGAACTATCCCTAGAGAAAGAAGACGTACTCTTCTCCATCCATTTTTATCCTTACTGCTGGCTGGAATGTGGATGTGATGGTTGGAAATAGAGCAGCCATCCTGGACCAGGTACAGAACTTGGAAATAGAGGTTATGCACAGCTGACCAGAAAGACAGAAGGATCTCATGTGCCTAACATTATACCATTCCAGGACCACTTACTACAACTTTTATGTGAGAGAGAAATAACATACATCTTGTTAAGGCATTGTTGTATACTCTGTTACTTGAAGTTAAGCCTCACTCTAACCAACCCCAATGTAGTATAAGTATGGAAGTTGGTACCCTACCTGTACACCTCCGTTACAATGTTCAGATGTGAGGATGAGTCCTGGCAAGTTACTAGGAAGGTCCAAACGTCTGAAATACCAAACGAGGTTCCAGAAAATGATTGGATGTTGATTGATGAAAGAGGATGTGTGAATCACTTGATCACCTTCATTTTCTAGCAAAGATTCAAGTTCTTTACGAAGCACTAGAGGACTCAAGTAGGGCACAGAAACAGGGGGAGGATTGGGTCTTTTTCCTAAAGGATCCTTTAAAAAATAAAAATACAGGAAGAAATGAGTATTATCTATTCTGTATGTTTAAGAGTACTTCTCAATGAGATTATGCTTTATCCTTTCAAAATCAGTGATTTCAGAACCAGTGCTACATGCCGTACACCCTAATGAAAACCTAAAAAAAAAAAAAATACTTAATCATAAATGCCCTTAAGTTAAAGGATTACAGAAGAAAATTAATAATCCATATAACAGACTCATATTTTAAACATTGAGAGTTTCTCTATTTTTATAAGAAACACTACATTTCAGATGTTTTATAATGATTCCCCCCAAAAAGTAGACTTTACTTCTTTCTAAAACTCTAAACAGATGGAGCAATCTTTGTGTATTTGATGACTCCTTTTACAATTGTATCTACTTGTAAGAGCTTGTTTTTACATTTGATTACAACAAAAACTATAGTAAAGAGCAGTTGTACAAATCAAATAACAAATGAAAAAAGAATCCAATGTAGGGGCGCCTGCGTGGCTCAGTCATTAAGTGTCTGCCTTCAGCTC